CTCTAAGAAACCACACTGGTATCATCTCATCCCATCCCCTCAGATACCTATGCTACCTACAAGTGATCTGATGGTCAGTTTCTTTCACAGCAGGAGATAAAGAAATATATTTTATATGATTAATGATTATTATTACTATACATATTTTAGAGAGTTAATGGTCTAGCTGTAGGTGAGTCTGTCTGTCTGTGAGTACATTTGTTCAGGAACTTCTCCTAAATGGAAAAGTTAGGACCACAAATTTGGTATATAGCTTCCTCTTATCCTAAAAGCAAGGTCAGGATTTGGCTGTGCCAGGAAAATGGGATGTGCCTGAATCCGATTGTTTTCCATAACACAGAAAGGGAGGGGGACTGAGAGCGTAGGGGACAGTTATACTACAGAGCAACCACAGGAGGGTGGACGCACAGGAAGAGAGTGGCCAGCTGGACCAGAGTGCTCCATATTGCCAGCCACTAGAAAGTGGCCCCCTGCCTCAAAACCTCTTCTCCTAGGCCTCAGCCCCAGAAAAGGGGGCTCTCCCACAACGCCTACTGTTGCCTACCAGGGGGAGGGATAGCTCAATGGTTTGAGCATTGGCCTGCTTAAACCCAGGGTTGTGAGTTCAATCCTTGAGGGGGCCATTTAGGGATTTGGGGCAAAAATCGTCAGTGATGGTACTTGGTCCTGCTGTGAAGGCAGGGGACTGGCCTCGATGACCTTTCAAGGTCCCTTCCAGTTCTAGGAGATAGGCAATTTCCATTAATTTAATTTAATTTAATTTGAACACCTCTGAGCCCTCCCTAAAGAGCTGCTGGGGCCGGCACCGGCATGTGCAGCCTTGGCCCTCCACTCAGAGCCTGCTGGGGCTGGGTGCTGGACTACAGAGCCCCAGCCCCACCCTGCGCTGAGGGCCTGCTGGGAACAGGCCATGCAAGCCCACCCTGCCTCATCGCCTCAGAAGCCAGCACATGGGCTGGGCACTGCAGCCCCGCCCCCATGGGGGCAGCACCATCCTTGCTGCTGTGGGTGGACCTAGTGAGCCCCCCCAAATCTCAGTCCCCTGCCTTGAGTCCCCCATCCCCTGTCCAGAATCCTGCCTCCCGCAGCCTCTTGCTCTGACTCCTGCACTACCATCCACTGCTCTGAGCCCCTGCCCCCCGCACACCTAATCCCCTTGACTACACACACCACACCACCAGCCCTCTGCCCTGAAGGAGCCAAACAATGCTGGGTAAGTCTTCTAGTTATATATATATATATATACACAGGCAGTCCCTGGGTTACGTACAAGATAGGGACTGTAGGTTTGTTCTTAAGTTGAATTTGTATGTAAGTCAGAACTGGTACATATTGTAGGGGAAACTCTAGCCAAACATTTCTCCAGAGCTCAGTTTTATTCTCCCACACCTCACTTCCCTCAGTCCTTTATTCTCAAGCTGAGGTATCTGCTGAGAAAAGCCGCTCCGCGTCTCCCTGGTCTGCTGGGGAGAGCGCTAGCTTTGTGTCTCCCCAGTCTGCTGAAGGGAAGAAGTTAGTGCAGGGTTGCCTCACCCCGTTTGTGAGTAGGGATCCGATGTAAGTCGGATCCATGTAACCCGGGGACTGACTGTATATCACATCATGGAATGGGCAACCCAAAGTCACAAGATTTACACACAACTGCACAGAGAGAAGACTGCTCGAATGTTAATCTGAGGAGAAAAAAAACCGTATGGGTAAGTAATCATCTCTTTCCCAGAGACATCCATCTTGGAATCAGAGACATCTTTGGAATCGTTCAAAGAAAAAAAAATTGAAAGGAGGCTGCAATCTGTAGTCACAGAATCATAAAATATTAGAACTGGAAGGGACCTTCAGAGATCATTAAGTCCAGTCCCATGTCCTCATGGTAGGATCAAGCACGGTCTATATCATCCCTGATAGATGTCTGTCTAACTTGCTCTTAAATATCTCCAGTGATGGAGATTCCACAACCCCTCTAGGCAATTTATTCCAGTGTTTTACCACCCTGACAGGTAGGAAGTTTTTTCTAATGCCCAACCTAAACCTCCTTGCTGCAGTTTAAACCCATTGCTTCTTGTCCTAGCACCAAAGGCCATAGAGAACAATTTCCCCCCCTCCTCTCTGTGACACCCTTTTAGATACCTGAAAACTGCTATCTTGTCCCCTCTCAGTCTTCTTTCCAAACTAAACAAGCCCAATTATTTCAGTCTTCCTTCATAGCTCATGTTTTCTAGACCTTCAGTCATTTCTGTTGTTCTCCTCTGGACCCTCTCCAATTTCTCCACATCTTTCTTGAAATGTGGTGCCTAGAACTAGACACAATACTCCAACTGAGGCCTAATCAGCGCACAGTAGAGCGGAAGAATGACTTCCTTCATCTTGCTCACAACACTCCTGTTAATGCATCCCAGAATCATGTTTGCTTTTTTTGCAACAGCGTCACACTGTTGACTCATATTTAGCTTGTGACCTCTAGATCCCTTTCTGGGACTCCCAATCCCAGGCCCTTAAAGGAACAAAGCCCTGGAGTACCCCCATCCAATTCTTTATTTCCTGGCACTGCTTCCCCTTTTACTCTACCGGGCCATTTAATGGGTTCATTGTAGCTCTGTTATGGGATCTTCTGGCCCCTTCTACTCTAAAAAGGCCAGTATAATCCGTTACAGGATACGTTCCACAGCTACAATTAATATTTGCCCTAGAAGAATGGCAGCTTGTATTGCAACCCAGTAACTTTTCTATTGCATGGCACCCATCAGAGGAAATGTATGAAACATTTTAGCTGGAAGATGAAAGCTTCAAAAAGTTCTGAGTGAATGCAAGCAAGCAGCTAGATGGAAATTAATTCAACCTTAACAGCAGCAGATGCTGCCACTCCCCCAATTGGCTTAATAAGGGTTCTGTTAAGCTGTTATTAGAAACAAGAAACCAAATACCTGTATGTCTATACTTGCCTTGTTTCATGTTTCTCATCAATACAGAACAGCTGAATACAGAAAGCAGTTACAGCTCCTCTGTACACAGGATGAAAGGAATCTCTCTCATCAGCCTCTAAGCTAGGTGTCCCAGCGGCTTTCAAATCTGTGCCTATGAGATCATCTATTGGCAATTCAGCACTGGAAACAGTGTTTACACCCTCCTTCTGCAGCAAGAAGAGACAAGGGACCAAACAGAAATCATGTTTCCTTTTTGCGTGTGTGTGTGTGTTTAATGAGCTTTTTGTTGCATCATTGTTATTTTACAACATTCTCAGTAGAAATACAGGATTGTATTTCACTCAACAGAATACATTCTGCCACAGGTAGGAAAGAGGGGGGGGGGGGGGGGGGGGGGCATGGCTATAAAAAGATTAATACCTGCAGAACCAGGTTTGAAATAAAGACAATATGTTTGGGAACAGGTATTTCTCACTATAGTCATTAGGTGGAACAGTTAACAGAAATTTAATCTTAGGAAATATTTTCCAGAGTAAAAATTTGTATTTTATCCCAATTAAAAAAAACAGAAAGCACAAAAATGAGAGTAATGCAGAAAATGTCATGTTGGAGATGAACAGCTACTATATTTAAAGAACAGACTAGTTTTGAAAATATACTGAAAGGAAAAATGAAAGACAGATACAATTATTTAAAATTCCATGGGCAAAATCCTCTGCTGATTTTGACCCAATGCAAAATCAAATTACTTCAGAGGGGTAACATAGGGTGTAAATCATGACATAATTTGGCATAGTAAGGGAATCTGCACCATCTTACTTAAAAAAAATGCTAAATTTCCTATGTATAAGTAGTTGTACATCATAAATATTATTTTTTGTTGATTATTTTAAAAAGGGGTAAGCAAATTTTGCCTTTTAGATCTCCACTGAAGAATTTAGCTTTGGTATATTGGTCTCCATGAGAGCCAATATTAAATCTAACAATATACTGAAATAGATTACTATTGCATGGATCTCAAAAGGAAAACTTTGCACAAAATATCTACAAAATATAATTAATGCATTCAATGTGCATCTTTTCAATCAATGTATTATAGCCTGCAATGCCACCTATATGCTAATATTGAATAATGATTATATAAAATTATTTCATTTTAAAAAATGGAAGCAAATCAGTGTCAATAAAGTTGAGAAACAGCCAATTATTGACATTTATTTTTAAATTCACTGTTCATTCAAAGTGAATTTAATATTTCCCCAACAAAGGCCCAAGTAAATAAGATTTGCATAGGAAATCAAGTAGGTATCTGCAGAAATGGAAGAAATTTAGAATCTGCCTGTCTTGAGTCAGGGGTAGAATGCAATGTGGCCTTTCTGCAAGGGTTCTTGGTTACTGGAGGCACATAACCAAGAGTTCTGTGACCCCAGACAAGCCCCACAAGGTCTTCTAGTGCTGCCTCGATAGGAGCTAGAACGCCCACTTCTCTACACACATAACTAGAAAGTCATAGAAAACAGTTTTACGAGCTCCAAGAGTTCAAAAGTATTGAGCCTGGCCACAACAATTAATTATTTAAAAAAGCTATAAGAAGAAGTTACTCACCCTGTGTAGTAACGATGGTTCTTCGAGATGTGTCCCCGTGGGTGCTCCACGCCCCACCCTCCTCCCCGCTCCGGGTCTTTCTGCTTTATCTTTCAGAGACCGAGCGGTGAGAGGAACTGACAAGGGGGAGCCGGTCCGTTGCAAAGGCGCGAACGCCGCGCGCTGTGTCCGCGCGTGCGCGGTCCGGCTCGGCTACGGCTATAGAAGTTTCCGACCAGCGGCGCCGGGACGGGACCCGACACCTGGAGTGGAGCACCCACGGGGACACATCTCGAAGAACCATCGTTACTACACAGGGTGAGTAACTTCTTCTTATAGCTTTTTTAAATAATTAATTGTTGTGGCCAGGCTCAATACTTTTGAACTCTTGGAGCTCGTAAAACTGTTTTCTATGACTTTCTAGTTATGTGTGTAGAGAAGTGGGCGTTCTAGCTCCTATCGAGGCAGCACTAGAAGACCTTGTGGGGCTTGTCTGGGGTCACAGAACTCTTGGTTATGTGCCTCCAGTAACCAAGAACCCTTGCAGAAAGGCCACATTGCATTCTACCCCTGACTCAAGACAGGCAGATTCTAAATTTCTTCCATTTCTGCAGATACCTACTTGATTTCCTATGCAAATCTTATTTACTTGGGCCTTTGTTGGGGAAATATTAAATTCACTTTGAATGAACAGTGAATTTAAAAATAAATGTCAATAATTGGCTGTTTCTCAACTTTATTGACACTGATTTGCTTCCATTTTTTAAAATGAAATAATTTTATATAATCATTATTCAATATTAGCATATAGGTGGCATTGCAGGCTATAATACATTGATTGAAAAGATGCACATTGAATGCATTAATTATATTTTGTAGATATTTTGTGCAAAGTTTTCCTTTTGAGATCCATGCAATAGTAATCTATTTCAGTATATTGTTAGATTTAATATTGGCTCTCATGGAGACCAATATACCAAAGCTAAATTCTTCAGTGGAGATCTAAAAGGCAAAATTTGCTTACCCCTTTTTAAAATAATCAACAAAAAATAATATTTATGATGTACAACTACTTATACATAGGAAATTTAGCATTTTTTTTAAGTAAGATGGTGCAGATTCCCTTACTATGCCAAATTATGTCATGATTTACACCCTATGTTACCCCTCTGAAGTAATTTGATTTTGCATTGGGTCAAAATCAGCAGAGGATTTTGCCCATGGAATTTTAAATAATTGTATCTGTCTTTCATTTTTCCTTTCAGTATATTTTCAAAACTAGTCTGTTCTTTAAATATAGTAGCTGTTCATCTCCAACATGACATTTTCTGCATTACTCTCATTTTTGTGCTTTCTGTTTTTTTTAATTGGGATAAAATACAAATTTTTACTCTGGAAAATATTTCCTAAGATTAAATTTCTGTTAACTGTTCCACCTAATGACTATAGTGAGAAATACCTGTTCCCAAACATATTGTCTTTATTTCAAACCTGGTTCTGCAGGTATTAATCTTTTTATAGCCATGCAGAAAATTCATTTTGTGGCAGAATGTATTCTGTTGAGTGAAATACAATCCTGTATTTCTACTGAGAATGTTGTAAAATAACAATGATGCAACAAAAAGCTCATTAAACACACACACACACGCAAAAAGGAAACATGATTTCTGTTTGGTCCCTTGTCTCTTCTTGCTGCAGAAGGAGGGTGTAAACACTGTTTCCAGTGCTGAATTGCCAATAGATGATCTCATAGGCACAGATTTGAAAGCCGCTGGGACACCTAGCTTAGAGGCTGATGAGAGAGATTCCTTTCATCCTGTGTACAGAGGAGCTGTAACTGCTTTCTGTATTCAGCTGTTCTGTATTGATGAGAAACATGAAACAAGGCAAGTATAGACATACAGGTATTTGGTTTCTTGTTTCTAATAACAGCTTAACAGAACCCTTATTAAGCCAATTGGGGGAGTGGCAGCATCTGCTGCTGTTAAGGTTGAATTAATTTCCATCTAGCTGCTTGCTTGCATTCACTCAGAACTTTTTGAAGCTTTCATCTTCCAGCTAAAATGTTTCATACATTTCCTCTGATGGGTGCCATGCAATAGAAAAGTTACTGGGTTGCAATACAAGCTGCCATTCTTCTAGGGCAAATATTAATTGTAGCTGTGGAACGTATCCTGTAACGGATTATACTGGCCTTTTTAGAGTAGAAGGGGCCAGAAGATCCCATAACAGAGCTACAATGAACCCATTAAATGGCCCGGTAGAGTAAAAGGGGAAGCAGTGCCAGGAAATAAAGAATTGGATGGGGGTACTCCAGGGCTTTGTTCCTTTAAGGGCCTGGGATTGGGAGTCCCAGAAAGGGATCTAGAGGTCACAAGCTAAATATGAGTCAACAGTGTGACGCTGTTGCAAAAAAAGCAAACATGATTCTGGGATGCATTAACAGGAGTGTTGTGAGCAAGATGAAGGAAGTCATTCTTCCGCTCTACTGTGCGCTGATTAGGCCTCAGTTGGAGTATTGTGTCTAGTTCTAGGCACCACATTTCAAGAAAGATGTGGAGAAATTGGAGAGGGTCCAGAG